AAAGCAAATCCGTGAGAGTTTGACTTAAAGTGGACAATATTTTATCGGTGCGGAGATATCTATGTGTTGTGTGCCTCCTACAATTATGATTTATTATTTATAGATAGATTATTTCCATTCTGTTTTATATTAAAAATTATCTCTATTCAAATTTAAAATAAAGAAAAGATGATGTATTTTTAAATAAAAAAAATATGTAAATAGATTTACGATAACCATATGTTACGAAAAAGTATTATCTGCACTAATTTTTTTTTTTTTAAATTAGCCGACATCACGTGGCAAATATTGTCACTCTCAATGTATGAAATCATTATCTACACGTGTTTTGAGAAAAGTGATTGTAACATAATTTTAGTAGATTTTTATCATTGGTTAAACTTATTGAAAACTAACAAAATCTTAAACAAAAATTAAAATTAAGATTAGAATTCGAAAAAATTCATTATGATATCATGTTCCAATCGTAATTAGCTGATATCATGTTCTTGCCTTTATAACTTCCGCGTTTGCGACGAGTTAATGAATAAGAAAACTAAGTTAACAGAAAGACACAAGTTTGAAAAGGTTTAGCCCAATGCTCTGCCTTTTTATTTAGTAGTGTTTCTGTTTGAATTATTTAATGTAGTTCTTTATCTTTTTTATCTAAGGAATCCTATTTTTGTTAAAAAAATTTAATGTAATGTCTTTTATTAATTGGTGCTCACCGTTTAGAGAGTGACATCATGACCGTTAATGAAATATGACATTGTATAGACGTAGCCACCTTTATTGTCACATTAAAATAAGCAAATCCGGATGTACAGTTTATGAGACAGCCACTGTAGTGTATGGTGTACAACTTTTAGAAGATGAGGTCAAGGTCACGGTGGATGAAGTTGTCATAGCANGTTCATACGTTAGATTCTTGGAAACTTCCCTTGATAATGAACACATGTTTCATGCATCACTTTTCCTTTATTTTTTTCCTTCTTCCTTAAACATTCAAAACCGCCTTCAATGCGTTATATAAGCATATATCCACAACACTCACTTCTACACAATTACAAACTCACTCTCACTCATCACATAAACCATAACCACAATCATGGTCAACCAGAAGAAGCTAGTTGATGAAGTGTCGGGTTGGCTTAGAGTCTACGATGACGGTTCGGTAGACCGAACATGGACCGGTCCACCAGAGGTCAAATTAATGGTCGAACCGGTTCCTGCCCACCACGAATTCATCAATGGAGTTGCTGTTCGTGATACTGTCACGAACAACAATCTCCGAGTACGACTTTACATGCCGGAGAAAGTCTCTAACGAGGAGAAGCTTCCCCTTTTTCTTCACTTTCATGGTGGCGGGTTTTGCATAAGTGAACCGGATTGGTTCATGTACTATCAGTTTTACTCACAACTTGCTAGATTAGCTCGAATCATCGTTGTGTCTTGTTTTCTTCGCCGTGCTCCAGAAAATCGTCTTCCTGCAGCAATCGACGACGGGTTTTCTGCTCTTCTCTGGCTACAGGATGTAGCTGGAAGAGAAACGGAAGAGCCGTGGCTTGAAAAACACGGTGATTTTCGTCGTGTTTTTCTGATCGGAGATAGCTCCGGTGCAAATATTGTGCATGAAGTGGCAGCTCGAGCTGGGAAGACACAACTGAAGCTGATAAGCGTAGCTGGAGGAATCCCTATTCATCCGGGGATGATGAGGTCGACACGGAGCAGGTCAGAGTTGGAAAAACCACAATCTCCATTTTTGACTTTGGACATGGTGGATAAGTTCATGAGCTTGGCATTGCCATTGGGTTCAACCAAGGACCACCCCATTGCGTGCCCCATGGGTGACAGCGCTCCGCCGCTGAGCGGGCTGAAACTGCCGCCGTTTCTGCTGTGCCTGGCGGAGATGGACTTGATCTTTGACACTGAGATGGAGTACTACGAAGCCATGCGGAAGGCCAACAAGGATGTGGAGTTGTTTGTTAACGAAGGAGTGACTCATAGTTTCTATCTCAACAAAATTGCAGTGGACATGGACCCAAATACCGGTGCTCAAACGCATGCTCTTATGGCTAGAATCAAACAGTTAGTTGAAGAGCACTAAATTAATAACAATTCGTTATTAACTTTGTGAGGAACATTGTGTGCAAGGATAAAAAGTTCTATGAAATGAGCAATAATATGGTGTTTGTGTGGACTTTTGAGAGAAATCATGTTCTACGTATTCTGTGTAAAATTATGTGTGTGAAGTTGAATGTGCTGGTGCATGGAAATGCCCCTTGATTTAACACTTCTGTCAGAATGATTTGAGAAGTGAAAACTGCTGGTAATTTCAATGCTCCTTCTAATTCACTTTTCTTAGTTTAACTATACGTTTTTTGTTTTGCAAATAAGTCTGATTAAAAAATAAAATATTTGAGAAATTAATTAATTATGAATTATTTATTCTAAATGGTCGGAAGAGTGTGGATCCTCTAATAGGTCAAGGAATAGAGAAAATAATAACAATAGAATGGATGATAAAAGGGTTACTATTGAGTAGATGGTGAAATTATCATTATTTATGAAGATGATTATGTAAATCTCACCTTATAAAAGTAAAAATGGATGATTGATTTTAGTATCTCTTTTTATCTCACGCCATTTAATTATTTTACATCCTATATACTAGTGGAGATTTTTGGGATGATGGTAAAACAACCTTCTTTCATGGTGACTAGAGGAAAAGATCTGTATGAAACAATTTGAATGTTTCACGATCAAAGGTGAAAAACAGTTTGTTTATAGATATATACGAAGAACTTATATAGACTCAAACATGCTCCAAGAAAATGATATGGAAAAATTGATTCTTTCATGTGGGTATGCCAAAACCTCTTATGTGTGTTTTTGTGAAGAAATTTTCTAATGAAATTATTTTATTTTCTTTCTCTGAATTTGTTGGAAGTACTTTCGAATAGCATTGACGATATGTTAATTGTTTGTCATGATATGAACAAGATTCAAAGTCTCAAAAGAGAAATGGACAAACCCTTTCCAATAAAGGATTTGGGTCTTATAAAAGTTTTTTAGACCTATGCAAATTTAATTAATAAAACTACAACTCATTCATTATATATGTAACTTAATCAAGTTTTCATGGGAAGATAGAAAAAAAAAAAGTGTCTCTGGTAAGAAAAGAAAACAGACTACCAAGAAAGAAATGAAGATAATAGTCAAATCTATGTATAAAAGCTAGCTTGCGGTAGATGTTTTATGCCGATTACTCCTAGACTCTTTCAATTGTTGAGCTAAATATTCATTAAATTTTATGTTGTTGAACTCGGTCCATGAGTTTTATTGAAATTTTTTGACATTAAAAGTTTTGGTGCTTAATAGTATTTGATGTATTCTATTATTTTATTAATTATTATTGTTATTATTTTAATTTGTTACTCGTTAATTTTTTGAGTTTCCAATTATTTAGGAAAAAAATTGATTTAAATTTTACTTTATTTTTGTCATCTTTCCACCTACAATAATTATGTAAGCACACTGTGTATATAACTCTACAATTCTCTGTTTTTGAGGAAATGTGGTCCTATACACTACAAAATACTTGTTTTCTTAAAAATTTCAATGATTTTGAAGAAAAATTCAAGTGAAATTGTAGCAAAATCTATTTATACCGTTGCTAAAAAAAAAATACAATCATTCAGCACCCTCCAATTTTAACCACTCTTGTTCCCTCCTTTCATCTCCATCCAAGTTTTTGGTCGTTAATTAGAGGTGGAAACATGGTATATAAACCTCTTTTCTTCGTCCTTTTAAAATCACAGGATCTTTGTGAGTCTTTACTCTTCTTCCCCGGTGGTGAAGACACCAGCCACCGTACGTATTGTCCTTCCTTTTGAGGTTTTTTTTTCTTTGGCTTTGTTCTTGTGTTGCAACAATTCCACTTCTTTTTAAGGTCTTTTTCAGAAAAAAAAAAGGGTTTCTCTTTATGGTGGAAACATATGTTTGTCAAAATGTTGCTGAAGAATTGCTTAAATTAATCATATACTAATTTTCTTAGGGTAACATAATTGATGAGTTTTTTTAAACGGTGAATTGTTTATAATAAATCTACAATATCAAACGGTTGGATTTGGTTCAATTAAAACTATTATTTAAATTCTTGTAATTCTTAACACATGTTTATAAGTTTGTAGTTTAAAAATGTTTAAATGTGTTTCTGCCTACTATATCACATCAATATTGTGCTAGATATTCAAGGATTTGATTGGATTTTTCTCTTACAAATAATAGGGAAATTTGAAACGTTTAATTTGAGAAGACTCAGCCATGTTTTCAGTTTTAGATATTATGTTATTTGTTTTCATATTTTATTTATTTTTACATATAAAAATTATAAAAATTATAAAAATAATATCTTTTGATCCTTAACACGAGATTTAAAGTGCACTCTTTCTTCTAAATGGAAGAATGAACTTTAAAAAAAATAAAATAGAGGAATTTCTATTTTAAAATTAGAGTTTGACATTTCTTTTTATTTATCTAATCCACTAGATAGAGACTACTCACATTTAAACGTGAGTAGTCTTGGCAAATATTTTAAAAACAATAATTCTAATCCTTGTATTTTTTTATAATTGGTTTCATCCACTTCATAAAACTTTATATATTGAGATTAGACATAATTAACATCATTAATCATAAAAAAATATGAGATAATCAAATGCACCATTTTTTAAATTAAAATTTAATACTAATTTTAAATGGAAATTAAGAGGCCTAAAACACACATTATCCTTTTTTATTTATATTAATCTATTTATGGTTTAACATATTTCGCTTACCGGTGAAACAATGAACCCATTTTTACCAAACACATAAATGAGTGAAAGCCTATGCTGTTTACCAGTTTCAATGTTGAAATCGAAAAATCTTCATATATATATATATATATATATATATTATGACTTATGTGTGTATATACATTAATTGTATTTTTTTTTTTGGGTATTATCTTGTTTTTCCAGGTTTAAAAGAATCAAACAAAAAGGAAGCAGTATATTTTATTCTTGCTTCTTGAAGTAAAAATGGTGACTTTTGTTCTGGGGACAGCAGAAGAGGCCACAGAAAATCCATTGAATAACAAAGCTGTTGATGCAGAAAATGTAGTTAGTGGTGATCATGCAGAGATTCCAGGTAGTAGTGCAATAAAGGGCACAGAAGTTCCTAAAGAAACCTCTGCCAAAGAAAGAGAATATTGTCTTCCTAGTGAAGCAACTGAGATACTGAAATCATTGGCAGCTAAATGGGAGAATGTAATCGATGTCAATGCATTGCAAGTAATCCCTCTTAAAGGGGCAATGACAAATGAGGTTTTCCAGATCAAATGGAAGACAACAGAAGGAGAATCCTCAAGAAAGGTTCTGGCAAGAATCTATGGTGATGGTACTGCTATTTTCATTGATAGGGATGTTGAGGTCAAGACGTTTGAATTTATGTCAAAGAGTGGACAAGGGCCTCGTTTGCTAGGAAGGTTTGATAATGGTCGTATTGAGGAATTCATCCACGCAAGGGTAATTTCATCTTCACTTTATGCTTCTATTTTCATCCTCGTCTTTTGTCATAGCACAGTATCTTTCTGCAAATTGCTATCATGAACAAGTTGATGAATGCAAATTCTTGAATCAATATGTGTTACACAACTGACACATTCCCTTTTGATCCAACATTGCAAATCATACTTGTAAAGTTTAGTCATTTGTTTCATTCATATATGAACTTGATCAAGCTGATACATTGTGGTTGATTTAACAGACATTATCAGCATCTGATCTGCGAGATCCATCCACTTCTGCTCTTATAGCAGCCAAAATGAAGGAGTTTCATGATCTTGATATGCCTGTTCCAAAGACTGTGAACCTTTGGGATAGGTTAAGGTATGTGTTCTTATGAAAAACCACAGATTCTTGATCTTTTCAAATTGAGGTTAACATCTGAGTCATATTTCATTCATTTCAGTAACATGTTATTATCAGTACAATTTGATCATTTCTAACATAAATTTATTTTAATGCTTCAGAGATTGGCTTAAGGAAGCCAAACGCTTGAGTTCTCCTGAAGATGTTGAAGCATTTAAATTGAACAGTTTGGACAAGGAAATATCTACTTTGGAACAAGAGTTAACAGGAACTAAGCAATGCATAGGATTTTGTCACAACGATTTGCAATATGGCAACATAATGCTTGATGAAGAGTCCTGTTCTGTCACCCTTATAGTGAGTCCCTCTTTGTTTACTATCTAATAATTATTTACTGTTGTAGTTCAAACTGGTTAGAGAATGTAAAGTTTAGTATTATAACAAATACTGAATGTTTTACTTTTATAACAGGATTATGAATATGCAAGTTACAATCCTGTGGCATATGATATAGCAAACCACTTCAATGAGATGGCTGCCAATTATCACACAGATACCCCACATGTTCTTGACTTCACTAAATACCCTGGTCTGTGAATAATGAACTCTGCAATTTCTTCTCATTCATTTTTTTCACCAAACAATTAACAAATTTAGTTCTTTCTTCTGTTAGATTTGGAGGAGCGTCAACGATTTGTACAAGCGTATTTGAGTTCCTCAGGTGGCATTTGTGGAATTAGTTTTATTTAACCTAACTCTCTTATTATTTTAAACTATATTTTAGTGACATTTTATCATCACCATAATTTTCTCTTGCATAATATTTAGTGTATATTTTTCAAGTGTAAGTCTAAGTCTCATTGTTTAAGTTTTTGGATTGGAAGTGGTCCAAATTCCTTCTATACTTTTGCTATCTTCCAAGGTAGAATCAATCACTTGGTTATACTCAAATCACATTTATAAAATCTCTTTCTAAAAAATTTATGCTAAAAATCCCAATAGGTTCTAGTATTACTAATCTAAAAATCCCAATAGATTCTAGTATTATTGATTTGGAAAACACCTTTTTATTTTGAGAAATATTAGTTATTAGTTAGCTATCACTTCTCATAACGAGAAATATTAGTCAGATATATGTCAACCCAACTCATTAACCAGTGAATTATTTATGTTTTCATTATGACACAGGTGAGCAACCTAGTGACACTGAAGTACAACAATTGCTTGATGAAGTTGAGAAGTATGCACTTGCAAGCCATCTATTGTGGGGCATTTGGGGAATAATTTCGGTAACTATCACTTTCTCACTTTAGCATTGGTTATTCTACATTTCATGTTCTTATTATCTGCACTAATACACTCATGAATGACCAAATTGTAGTCAGATTATTGAAATAAACAGTCTAAAATATTGTAAATTAAATTTCCAAAAAGACAATTCTAATTAGTAGATTTTCCAAATGAGTGTAAAATATTTTGGTATAAATGGTATCTAATTATCTTCTGAATTCTTTATGCAGGTGCATGTAAATAAAATTGACTTTAAGTACAGAGAATATGCAGAACAGAGGTTCCAACAGTATTGGTCAAGGAAAACTCCTGTTGTGAGCTCTAATGGCGCTTCCCATGGTAATGGTATTTTCAATAAAACACTGTTTTGTATTTGTAAACATAACATTTTGATTTTAGTTCCATTTACATTCTTTCAACTTTAGCTCCTATAAATTTGAAAGTCTTTAAACATTATCTACACATAATTTCACTTATCTTAATGAATCGTGTTTATATGTGACATTCTAACTAGTTATTTGCTTGCAGGGTTGCAAGCAGCAACATCGACCACTCACCATAAATCAGGTAGGCTCATTGGTATCCCTAGGAGATTGAAGAGATTGTTTAATCTTGGCTTTTTCAGATCGAAACACTAGAGCAAGGTTTGGCAGAATTTGTTCCTCGATTGACCTTGATGAGTTAAATGGGAATAGTTGTGAGAAAGTATAGCAATGTAATACCTATGTGTTATTAACTTTTTTTTACTTTCTTCATTCTTTGTAACTCTATCTGGGGAAATCCATAACCTTAACTAGGATAAAGAAACACTGTAATTATCAATCTCTTCTAGTGATGGTTATTTTGAAACTGTTATAAAAAAACTTTGGTGGAATTTTTAATTTAACTTCTCCATGACAACGGTAAAAGATTCGTAATTATATCTAATTAAGACGCAATTATTAGAAGAACGCTCTTTCATGTATCAACAATCCTTTTATTTTCAGTGCAAAAACAATTATTGGCAAATAACTCACTAAGATAAAACTTACATGCACTGATAGTGCCAACAACAGAAACTAACCCAGCAGGTACAAACAAAATCTTATTTTATTGAGCTGATTTTATTGAGTTGAATTATGTATAAATTTTAGTACTTTAATTTGATATTATGATCATGCGTCTAAGTTAAAATTTGAACCTATGAAACTCTTTAATTCTCATAGGTTAAAAATCTCGTCACATCGATTAAAGATAAATTTCGAAACACATTATAATTCCTAATTTACAAAACTAATTTTAAAACATTAAGTTAAAAATAATCTTATTTATTAGTATGGTTTCAAAATCTATCCTAATCTTCTTGCAGAAAACACAAAAACAGAATATAACTCTCTTGGTGATGCAACACCATAATTTATATGAAAAATTTAATAATTTTATCATCTTATAAAGTAAACAATAACACATTTATGAAGCTATCATACTAAAACGGATATTATGAAGTCAATTTTTTTAGTTCCCTGTAGTCTGGGAGTTGAAAAACAATAGGTACACATTAACACACTATAAGCTACTCTAGGTGGACCGAATCAAGTCTTCCAGTGATCTCTACAGGAAAAATCTTCAACTTGATCATTGCTTCAGCAGCCTGTGTTATGCTTTGTTGTTTCATTTTTCCTGTGTCATATCATCAAATAATATGAGAACTAAAGTTTTGATAAGTTGATTGAGAGAGAAGGTCAATCGGAAATCATGATATTAATGAGATCTGAGTTTAATTAGGTAAGAAATAAAGATTATTCTTATCTTAAAACTTTAAGACAATAAATTCATAACTCTTTATCTTTATATAATGTCCTGTTTTTTTATTTTTATCCAATGACTTAAATTCATACTTGAATCTTTATCTTAAAAATAAGATAGAGTATGTTGATAATACAATTCTGATATTAAATTCATGTCGCATATGATATATAACTAGTTAAAAGCATGTATTACTGTTAATTATACCTCTAGCAGAAAGTTATACAGATGATTAACCACTTTATCTGTTTCCTAAGAGAAGAAGAATTATGAATCATACCCTAGTTTTGAAAGCTTTCGTTTTGGTTTCTTTATCCACTTGATTCATGCTTAACTTTCTAGCATTCACCACTTTCTCTACCATCTTACTCCCCTTAAAATGTGTTCTTCCTTCATTAGGACTTGCTGCTAGAGTGAATGTTTCTTTATGTGCCCTCAAGTTCTTCTGGGTTCTGTCTAACTGATTCCAACTACCATTAGCCATGCTCGGTGATGGTGACCTTGATGGTCTACTCGTTCGTGGAATAGGATCCCGATTTTGAAACCCTGTAACAGTAGAAGATCGAGTTGTGCTTCTTCCTCGTGTGGTGGAACTTGGCCTCTCATCTGTCCTTAGATTTGGTGGTGCCACATTGGAGAGTTCCATGATATTACTCACAAGTGCAACTCTTGATTTCAGTGATGGAGAAACGCCTCTAGCTCTTGGCTTTCTCTGTGAATCATTTGTTTCTGTGCTTTTCTTCACATTCAAAGCGAGGAAATCAGTATTGTTGGTTTGCTTTTGGGGAGTGAATTTTGTGTTGTTGGCCACTTCATGGTCACTTTTGGCATTGCTGCCCTTGTTGGGAATTGTTGGCAAAGTGTTTGTTTGTTGTTCATTTGTGTTCTTGATGGTGCTTGGTCTTTGCCTGTGGTAACTTGGGGTCATTGATCTTGTTGAAGGTTTTGGTTTGGTTGAGTTGGTGTGAGTTGTTTTTCCATCATTTGATTTGGGTTTTGGTGCTTCCATTTCTTTCCATGCAAACTGTGGCAAAACCAACCTTATGTTGTCAATTTCGAACTTCAGATGAAAAACATATAAATTAGAATAATTGAACAAAGTCATTTACAAGTAGTTGGAATTTCCATGAGATTAAACACTAATCTGACTTACTCTTGTGATGGCTTGTGAGATTGGTATCTCCTTTTGCACAACAAGTTGAGGACCTGGTTCCATTTCAAGGGATGGAAACAGAGGAGTAGCTGGTGGTGTTTTCAACCTTTGTAGCATGCAGTGACCAAGTTATTTTCTTTATTTCACAGATCAAATAATCATGCACAATCATATGTTTGTATATTTTCACACTCCAAACTTACCAATCGTAGTCATTTTTGTTTGTTTCCAGAAACTCTAAACCATATTCTCTCTTCCCTGATGGAATTCTGTACAGTGAAAAATTACCTGAAACGATATGTTATTTTCTTTTTCTCAGCACTAGCATTGAGCAAAATTACAATATGATTCATGATGAGTACCTACCAGGAGTGTCATTATTAGTGCCACATTCAAACTCTTCAGAATTAACACAATGCAAGAGGCTTGAGATGTGTTCATTCTGGCGCTTTCGCAATTCCCTGAAAAGTGATAACTCTTCGTCTCGTTCCATGCGTGTTTTCATCTTCGTCTTCATCACACCACTAATCGCCATACTCTTCTCTAATCAATGCTTCTAATTATAATTAATAATGATGTGTTATGTTGTTACCCTTATAGTATTCTCCCTCTGATTCCCTCACACTATCGTAGATTCTATTTCTTGTGTTCCAACGATGCTTGGTGTTGCAAACGACAAAAGGAATTTAATTGTTTGATGTTTTTTTTATCATGACTATGATAATGATCGATGATGATTAATTTATGACCAAAAAAGAAATTGGTGCCACGTGGAGCTCTAGCCGGCTGATTAACTTTTGTATGAATTCGTAGTGTTTATATGATGGAACACATTAAATGTTTACCTTTTGTGGAGCATTGGACTGCAAAATGTTCAGCAAATTAATTTATTATTACAACCAATTCTTTTTTGTACAAGTTTTATAAGTTCGAATCTTAAATGTGAAAAATATTTAAGGGAATATCTTAAAATGTTCTGGGTGTGTAATAAATGCTTGTTAAAGTTTTTCTTAATGAATTCAATTTAGACTATAAATAAAGTTGGAATTATATACTTATTATTACATACACAGATACTGCTCTTTTGTTTCTTAAAGTGATTTTAATTAATTGATTAATTAGACAGAGTAAGATCCGCCCGGTGTTATTTTCTTGATAGATTTCTTTCCTTCATCAGCAGTGTTAATAAGTTTTTTTAGTGAATTAGAATAATATTTTCTAATTTTTTTACATTGCATATGATATTTTTATATACATTTAGAAGTTTATAACAATCACATTGTAATATTTTTAAACGTCTATAAGGAGATTTAGCCTATTTATAAAAGGTGTCGACATAATTTTATTAAAATAATTATTAGAGTTTCTCTAAGTCTAAAAAGTAAATAATATTAGACACAATAAAAAATAATAATTTTTAACATTCTATATTATGTAAAATTAATTTTATTTTAAAAATAATTTTAAAAATAAGGAATATCTTTGAGTGGAGGATGTTAGGGAATAGTTCACTAATTCACTCATAAACGTTTACCACGTTAAGAAATCCAAAAAGCACAATAATTGAACGAGAGAAGGTAAACTGAGGAAAAAAAAATCACATACAAAAATAACGTGGTTCAACTGAAATGTTAACGAACTCCAATCTAAACTCATGGAAGAATTCACTATAAATAAGAGATTAAAAAAAACAAACTTAAACATTAATGTTTTAAAAAAGCTACAAGGTCTTAGAAGAAGTTCTAGTATAATTGACACACATGTCTAGGGAAAGACAATGCTTCTCATAAGATAATTGAATAGACATTAGACTATCTCAACGGACTATAAACTATCCAAGACTCAATAGTGTTATCAATGTTATCTTTCTAGATGTTTGATGAAATTATGCAGAGAGTGCAAGAGTATAACACAAAAGAAAGAGAAAACATGATTAGTATTTTCTTATTAACAGGACAAAGTATATGTACAGTTTACATAGCAGTGGATAAAAGAAACAGACTGTCAACTGACAATTAAAACAGTTAGAAGTTTAGTTTTTATTCTCAAAACACTCCTCTAAAACTAAACTCTCTAGGGATTTAACTCCAAGCGAATCCCTCAATTTCTCAAACCTATTATGCCTTAAGGCCTTGGTGAAGATGTCCACAACCTGTTCTTCTGTGGAATAGTATACCAACTTCAATTTTCCTTTATTAACTTGATCCCTTAGGTAGTGAAACTTAGTTTCTATGTGCTTGCTTCTACCGTGTGAGACAAAATTTCTGAATAGGCTAATAGCAGATTTGTTGTCTACTGAAAGCTGAATTGGTTTTCTACAATCAATCTTCAATTCATCCATAATTGCTTCCAACCAGACGCATTGGCAAGCAGTTTCAGCAGAAGCTATATATTCTGCTTCACATGAGAACAGTGCAACCACATTCTGCTTCTTAAAACACCAAGAGATTGGTGCTCCCATATACTTAAACAAGTAGCCATAAGTGCTTTTTCTATCCACCTAGTCACTACTCCAATCTGAGTCACACCATGCCTTCAAACCTCCATTTGTACTGTCAAACTTCTTGGGAAAGAAAAGCCCGCGAGGTTTGCAGTTCCTTTCAAGTAACGCAAAATGTGTTTGGCTGCAACAAGATGAGTCTGTCTTGGATCATACATGAATATACTCACTAACTTAACTCCAAAACTGATGTCAGGCCTGCTATTACAGATATATCTGAGTGACCCTACTATTTGTTTGAACAAAGTTGCATCCACCTTACTTTCTTTCTACCGGTTAGACAACTTCAGATTTGTTATGACTGGAATTGAAGTACAATTGCAGTCTTTCATATTAAATCTTTTCAAAATCTCGTTAACATGCCTTCTTTGATGAAGGAAAAATCCATCCATTGTCTGCACAAACTCCAACCCAAGAAAATAGCTCAGACTACCGAGATCTATCATCTCAAATTCTTCTTTCATTCTCAACTTAAATCTTTCAATTGCTTTTGCAGAACTTCCTGTTACAAGCAAATCATCTACATACAAACAAATCAACAGAACACCCTGTTGTCCAACAAGTTTCATATAGACTCCAAACTCTACAATGCATTTTTGGAATCCAAGTCTAATAAGCAACGCATTGATATGATTATTACAGGCCCAAGGTGCCTATCGAAGCCCATATAAGGCTTTGTTCAGTTTATATACCTTCAGCTCCTCACTTTCTCAAATCCAGGTGGTTGTCTCACATAAACTTCCTCTTCAAGAGAGCCATTCAAAAACGCAGATTTGACATCCATCTGGCATATTTTCCAACTATTGAAATTAGCCACTGCAACTACAAGTCTCACAATTTCAAGTCTAGCAACTGGTGCAAAGACATCCGTGAAGTCAACTCTAGGTTTCTGCAAGAAGCCATTTGCAATTAGTCTAGCTTTCAAATTTGCTATGCTACCATCTAGTTTGTACTTCATTTTAAACACCCATTTAACCTCAATAGCGTGTTTGTGTTGAGGCAGCTCCACCATCTCCCAAGTTTTGTTCTTCTCAATTGCTCTCAGCTCCTCCATCATAACCTCTTTCCATTCTTTTGTGTCAATAGCTTGCTTTCATGTAAGTGTTTCAGAATCGGCTAAGAAAGCAAAATGAACAAAGTCACCTGAGTTTGCTATTTCACTATCTGTAAACACCTCATGACCTACGAGTCTAGTTGAAGGGAACCTAGCTCTTTGCGATGTTCTGTTATTGGCTTCTACATCAGCAAAACTTGTTCAACATCGCTAGACTTCTTTTCCTCCAACCGACTAGACACAACCACATCTGGTTTTAAGCCTACTTCTGCTTCCACCCAATTAAATGTAGTAGTTTCATCTACTAATACGTTTCTGCTAATCACGAATTGATTCTTCTCTGGGCTATAAAGTCTATAAGCACCCGTTGGATGATAGCCAACAAGAATAAAGGTTTCACTCTTATCACTCAACTTCTTTCTTCTCTCATTTGGATCATGTTTGTAGCACACAGATCCAAATATCCTCAAATGACTTGCAGATGATGTGATCCCTAACCGAGCCTCTTTTTCAGTACAACTTGACAGGGCTTTTGTTGGACTTCTGTTCAGTAGATAGGTTGTTGTGGAAACAACCTCTCCCCATAAGCAGTGTGGCAAATTCTTACCCCTGATCAAGCACCTGGTCATATCAAGCAGCATTCTACCACCTCGTGCATGATTCCCCTGTCATTACAGAACTTGCTCATCTCTCCAGAATTGAATTCTCCTCCACCATCGATTATGAAGATTTTTATCTGCAAGGCCGATTGTCTCTCCATCGTGGCACAAAGTTTAACAAAGCGTGAATAAACTTCTTTCTTTTCTTTCAAAAGATAAATCCATATCTTCTTAGTCCACTCATCTACAAAGATTAGGAAATATTTGTTACCTCCAAGTGATGGCACTTCAAAAGGGCCACATACGTCTGAATGAACTACATCAAGTGGTTGTTTGGCTCTTTTGGGTGCATACTTCTTGAACTTTCTTCTGGCTTGCTTCCCCATCGCACAACCTTCATAAATCTTCTTTGGGGTATTTATCAGAGGCACACCTTTTATCAATTCTTTGCTATTTAACAGACTTAGACTCTTAAAATTTAGATGCCTGAATCTGTAGTGCCATACCCAACTTTCTTCTTCGACATTCAATGTAGATAAACATTGTATTGTTGTAGCGTTCAAGTTTACCTTGAACGTTCTATTCTTGGCAAGCGGAGCCTTGATCAGAAGACGCTGGCTTTTGTCAAATACCTCTATGAGATTCTGATGCATTGACATGGTGTAGCCTTTCTCCAGAAGTTGCCCAAGACTCAATAAGTTGCTCTTCATTGTTAGGACATACAACACATCATCTATATATGCAACTCTGCCATTCTTGCACGTAATTAGGACTCTGCTAATTCCTTCTGTTGTAATCGTGCTATCATCTGCGAATGTCACGCTGCTTCTTATACTTGAATCAAGATTCACTAACCACTTTCTCCTTCCTATAATGTGGTTAGAAAACCCAGTGTCCAAATACCAGCATGAATCATCCACTACATGACTGTTTTCACTTGACAACAACACGCGTTCGGTTTCTTCATCATCTACTGCATGACACCTTTCCTTCGAAGATGACACGTGGTCTTATTACGACGACACCTATCTGCATGACTTATTGTGTTCGACTGCAACACGTGTTCAACTACACGGTCAAACCTGTCCCGCACTAATTCTCTGCATAAATCTTCTTCAACCTGTTCTATAGTGCTCATCAACAGCACATGATCAGGCTCCGAATCGCATGCGTCTTGAGCAAGATTCGCTGCCTCGTCATTCTTCATTTTCTTTGTGGCTTCATTATCTTCCGCGGGTTGATCAGATATATTTCTACCACCAGTTCGTCCACCTCGTGATCTCCCTCTACCCATTCTAGTTCCACGACCCTTGAAGCTCTGATTATTTCTGGCCTACAATGCTTGATTTGTGCCTTGCATCACACCCTTTTCTGCATTCTTTCTTTCAATTAACCACTGCTCATGCACTTCAAGGGAATTCTGGAGCTCTTCCACTCTCATCGTTTCAAGGTCCTTGCATTCTTCTATGGCTACAACGATATGATCGTACTGTGGTGTTAAAGTTCTAAGTATCTTCTCAATAATTTTCTTGTCCTTCACAACTTTATCACATGCCCTCATAACATTCACCACAATTTGGATCCTCCCAATATACTCCATGATTGTTTTTCGCTCCCCCATGCATAGGAGTTCATACTGCCTCTGTAAAGATTGTAATATGATCTTCTTTACTTTTCCATAATTTCCATAACCTTCCTGCAGAATGTCCCAAACCTCTTTGGCCGTGACATCTTTTGACACCTTTTGAAAGATTGAAGCAGAGATGCACTGATGTAATAACATCCTTGCTTTGCAGTCAAGCCGCCTGTTTTCCTTGTATAACTTCTTCATTTCATCCGAGTCAACTTTCGAAGGTTCTTGAAAACCTTTTTTACAATTTCATCTACTTCTTGAAATCCAAGGATTGCTTCCATCTTAACACACCAATCATCATAACCTTTGCCGTCAAATACTGGCAGGTTGTTGTGGATCATTCCAGCCATTGCTTGTTCGACTTGACTTTCCTTCTTGATATGTCTTCTTGGACTTCACAAATCTTCACCAGGTCTCAGAACCTGTAGCTCTTGATACCACTATTATCAACTGTTACCTTTCTAGACGTTTGATGAAATTATGCAGAGAGATGTGCAAGAGTATAAAACGAGAGGAAGAGAAAACGAGATTAGTATTTTCTCATTAACAGGACAAAGTATATGTGCAGTTTACACAGTAGTGGATAAAAGAAACAAACTGTCAACTGACAGTTAAAATAGTTAGAAGTTTAATTTTTATTCTCAACAAGTAGACGTCTATTTTTTTATAGTCTAATAAGATAGTCTAAACATGTGATAGTGTAATACATGTTAGACGATCTAGGAACTCCACAAAGGAAAAATCCCATTTGTAAGGTCTTTCTTAGTTTCCAATTCCTCACCAAATGAATATATGGTTGTCTATAAAAGAAGAGTTTTGTTGTATCCTTAAACAACTAATTTTCATTTTCAATTAGTCTTTTTGAAAGCCAAAGAAAGGAATCCAAAGAAAATCTTGATGGTGACAAAGAACTATCTTCATGAAAAAATCATATAATCCAAAAATGCCACACCCATGAAACTTGAAGATTATAAGGTTAAACTTAGCTAAATTATGAAGTCCATTTAGAATTGAGCGATTGTCTTTTTTGGTGTAGACTGACATGAGTTTTGTCGCTCTAGTTGGAAGATTTAAGGAAATTCATGATGGCTAATGATTTTTGTAATCTTCAACTTGACTAACTTAGACTTTCCCTTGTAATGAAACGAGTGTTTGTCTTTGTTTTCCAACAACATATAGTCAATGTCAATAACTTTCAGAAGTTAGACTTTATGTTCTCATCCTATATTCATATATAGTCAACTATATATTATTGTTCATAGAATGAAATCAAATAAAACACTAAAAATGTTTATTTTGAACAAACAAAAAAAGTTACACTAGAACTAAAAACGTGGTATACAAATAAGTTTTTAAAAATCTTTAAAAATAAAAACATATAACATTTCATAATACATATTAGACATAAATGTTCTTCTAAATATAATATATTTTGTTTATTGTTGTTTTTATTTATGAAATTGAAGTTCCTAATGTCTTAGTCAATGAACTACATATGAATCACTTGATCAATAATTCAAAATGTATACACAATTGCTTTCAATGACAATTATATATTTGTAAGTTATAATGAAATATTTATACTCATTTCACTACAAAAATTTGAGATTTTACCATATTTTTCTTGCATTACCGGCACTTGTTGATACGTTGTTGTTGACGCTATTAAACTAATACTATTTTATAGGACATATTCAATATTGCCAAGTTAGTGGTTAACAAGCTAGATATGATTAAAGTAATCCTGAGTGGTTTTCCAACAAATACATAATTGATTTTCAAATACTTGACTCATATGAAGACTCAGGTTAATAAAATGCAATGCAATGCTTAAAGATAAAAGTGAAACAATTATAATAAAATAGACTAATTCTACTACTTTTTCAAAATAGATTTATCATCCGTTATCCACATATTATTGTTCAATTGATTATTGTGTGGGTTTCAAATTAATTAAATTACATTCTTAATTAATTTGGAGGCGATCTTACAATTAACTAAAGTATATTCTCAATCAAAAGCAAGACCTTTCTATTATTCACAATAAATTCATCTCAAGTACATTACCAATTAAATCCTATTGTGTTTAATCATGTCTATTATTTAAACTCCTAACCAAATTAAAAGTTAATTAATCAAAGTAAATTATCAATTAATTATTGTTAAAGTTCTTACCATTAATCAAAGTACATTAATTGGTAACAAAATCTCATTCGATCATATAAAAGTTCCTAAATTTAATCAAAGTACATTCTCAATCAAACCTGGAAACCCTTGAATTCATTATAATCAATATGCATGTAGATTCAAACACCTTCTGATGTAAAAATCATTACTTTTGACGTGATTGAGAGATGAAAGACATAGAAAAAGGATAACCCAAATCAATAATCAAAAGAAACATAAACATACAAGAATTGATCAAGAATGTACTTTTGTTAATTAGCTTTTTAGTTGATATAAGAGGTAAAAGAATAGACATGATTAGACATAGCAATATTTAATTTAGAATGTACTTTGGTTAAATTTACTATGATTAATATACAAAATTCTTGCTTTTAATTGAGAATATACTTTGATTAGTAGTGAGAATTCCAAATGAATTGAGAATTTATATTGATTAATTTGAAAATCTAAGACAATAACTAATTGAACAATAATCTTTAGATAACCAATGATGAATCCTATATTGAAAAAACAGTGAATATACATAAAGGCACTTTTTATTTTAACTTGTAAATAAAGTTTGGATATGAGTCATAAATCAATACTCAACACATATAAGCGATTTCATATAAATCTTAAAATATTAAGTTTGTAAATTCTTTTTATTATATATTGTTAGTTTCACTTATCTCCATTCAATGAAATTCTCAAGTTTATCTTGAACTTTTTTGAATTACTTTCCTAAATGTATAACATATAATGTTAATCCAACCCCTTAAAACTTGTCACTCTACAACTTTTATTATTTCTTCTTATTTGTTCTACATCATAACTTGTTTCCACCGTTGGAATATCCACCAATTCTATCCTAACAATCCAAATATGTCTTTCTTTTCATTTCTATAGCAATTTTCCAAAGATGTAATTTCTGCTTTCTCGTTCCTCGCGTCGCTTCATCACCCACAAAAAGTCACACAAACTAAGACGGGGAAAATGGACATGTCAAGCAAGTGAAAGACTTATGAGTAGAGAAAATTGAAAATTTATGCATTGATCCAACTTAAAAAGAGGAAATTAATGTAGTGTATAACCATAACAATTTACATTAATTAAGTTTCTTCTCCCTATATTTATACTCTTCCATCGTACAAAGTTAAACAATCAATTCTCATTGTTACTTACACTAGGGAGTGTCTTCTGCCTTCAAACATTCAACATTATTTTTTTTCCACAGGCAGCACCTCCTTCCTCATCTACAAACTCTGGCTCTTGGTTTTGTCTTCAATTCCTCTGTCAGCAGCACAAGGATCAAGGATTTTGTCTCAGGATATGAAATTGGACTGGTAAATCAATCTTTGAATCTAGTTATATATCCATATTTTATTCCTTGTTTTTGTCACTTTTGTATTTTCCTCAATCCCATTGCTCTTTTCATCTTCTCCCTCTTGGATCTCCCAATTTCTTTTACTCCATTAACCAAAGTTCACACACCCTTGCTAAATTATATTTTTTTAACCTAGATATTTGTTTCCCTTTTCCCTTACTAAAATAACCAAATTTTGAAAAGAATAAGGATATAAATTATCAATAATAAGTTGCCTTTATAATTTTTTTTATTAAAATGCAAAGAGGGAAACAAATGCAAGAGAAGGGGATGGGAAAGAGTGTGCAGCTTAAAATAATGGAGAGTACAAAAAAGATGCCTAAAATAATGGATTTGGCCATCTAACACACACATTAATTGATCTCTTCTCTTTTTTCTTGATAACATTTATTACTATATATCATTATTTTACAATATAGTGATAACAAACATGGTGAATGCGTCACAGAAATTAATGGTGGTGTGAGAGAGAAAGAAAAGAAAGAGATAGATAGAAGCTATCTATAGCTACTAGGAAGAGGATTTTGTTCAACAAAGTGAGTGATCCACCATGGCCTCTTCAAATTCACCATGTGCAGCATGCAAGTTCTTGCGTCGCAAATGCCAACCCGAGTGTGCTTTTGCACCCTATTTTCCTCCCGACCAACCCCAGAAGTTTGCAAATGTTCATAGAATTTTTGGGGCCAGCAATGTCACCAAGCTTCTCAACGATTTGCACCCTCATCAACGTGAAGATGCTGTGAATTCCCTTGCTTATGAAGCTGAGATGAGACTCCGTGATCCTGTGTATGGCTGTGTTGGAGTCATATCACTCTTACAGCACCAACTTCGCCAGCTTCAAATGGATCTCTACTGCGCCAAATCTGAGCTCTCCAGGTACCAAAACCTAAGCAGCATCACCACCAATCACACCCTCATGGCCTCTGAATCCGCCGCAGCCTTCCACCACCACCACCACCAGAACAACAACACTGCTAACAGCTTTGGCCGAGACCATCACTACCACTTTCACCACCATCAGTTTTTTCCCAGAGACCAACACCAACAAGTAGCAAGAAGCTTTGATGGAGGCAACAACTACGATGCAAGCCTCTTGGCCATGAACATATCTGCCAGCTTAGGGCAACTCAACCAGCTTCAGCATCAGAGCGCTGCTGGCGGTGGCGATGACCGCCACACTGCCAACCGCTCCTAGGGTTTCATCAGGGTTGCCACATATATTTAGTCATGCAATAGGTAATTAATTACTTTAGTTAAACTTTTCATTTAATATGGTTCATTTGATTTGTGGCTTCTTGATTACCATCTTCAAATCATCTCCACCTGCATATTTTGTCACTCACAATGTATAAATTTGGACTCACAACGCTGTCATATTCTTCAATTCTATACATATAATGTAAGCAATTCCTCATGTGCTTGCCTAAGTCAAGTCAATTTGGAAATACTATTACTCTACATTGTGCTGTCTAAGTTTTGGAAATGTCAAGCTCACTATTATTTTTTATTGTCATTGATCTGCTGCATAATTTCAGCACAAAAACTGCTTTATTATTCACATACACAGAAAGAAATCATGTTGGTGAGAGATAGTATGTGAGAAAAGGCACATAACAGATATATGGTCAAGATTAAAATGAACATGATTAAGTTAATATCATAATTATTATGCATGGTTGTATGATTACCAATTACTTTTTCTTGTTATTATTAAGGATATTTTAATAGTTTTGACAACACTAGATATGGAAAAAAGAATCGTACCGCAATCTTCACAACACTTCTCAAGATCATGATACCTCAAAGCTCAAGTTGCATTTTAATATTTCCTTTACATCATTGCAGAACTTCTAGGTAGAAACTTAAATATGACGTCAACATAAAGTAGCTGACCATATTTAATCTTATTATTATTTTACTGTCTTACCAATGAAAAAAATCTTCTCTCCCCCACTAAATAATTCACTTATCTAATTTATCAAAATTAAGATAATTAACTTTTTTTTTTGTACGGTTTAATATTTGGGTCATTTTATGTATAGGCACTCAAATTCAAAACTAAGTAAACAAAAGCAGATGATTCCTCCACTGAAAAAGACAATGATTATGGTTATTAATCACAGAAAAGCTTGTTCTAGTAATGAAAACAAACTCTGGTCAAATCTAACAAAATGTATGGTCAAATAACTTGACCTGGTGTCTAGAACAATGTTGGATCAATTGTATCTGCTTGAGGTTTTTTGTTTGGTTTTGGTCGTGTGATATTTTGGTTTGGTGATACAAGTTAGACGTTGTAAAGTTGAAATTGGTATTAGATGGGAGAAAGAGATGATTAGACCTTGCTGTAAAAGAAGAGCATTTATAGCAGTTGCTTGTTCTGAGTAAAAACCACTCAACACAATAATGAGTCACACTACTACGTTTAATTGTGAATGTCATTGGCATTTATTAGACAGTGCCAACACTATGGAGCTGTGTCTTGCATCTGAACGCCTTTGTTAATTCCATTGAGTATGAAATGAATTCAATGAGGGTGACTTGACCAATTCTCTTACCTTTTCTCTTCTGCATTATCACACACTGCTATGCCCTTGACTATTCCTTGTTTCTATCAACACAACTTTTTCTTGAAGTTTGGCACTGCACGCTTTTCCATATATGTGTTCATCCTTCCAACTTCAAACTCTGGAAGAAAAGAATAAAAGAATATATATCTAATGTGCCCCAGAACCACCTACTACTGCATTTCTTTCATCTTTCTTCTTTATTACTTCCTTAATTACATGCTCTTTGTCCCCTCCCAATCCTCTTTCTTTCTTTTCTGACCACGGAAAGAACAAGGAACCAACAAAATTAACACCAGATGTGACAAAACGTCAACGTAATCAAGTGTGTTTTTGCAAATGCATCCACACCATCAATCCTCAGTCTAAGATTCTCTATTGGGTCATTTTTAATTTTAGGTTTTCAAATCTTTAAAATAAAAAACCTGTTTTATAATTTTTAATATAATGTTATTTTGATTTTAGGTTTTCATGGTGTATTTTTTTTTTCTTTTAGTTCTTCTTTCATGTATATTGTTCAACAATGGGTTGATGACTTTTGTGTCCTTGTCAATTCACTTATAGAAAGTAAAATATAAATAAATTCATTTTATTTTATTTTATTTATATAAGGTGCATATATATTTTTTATTTATTTTTATTTAAGGTGCTTATATATTTTTTTATTTTTTTTCAAATATGTAAATTGCAACATACATTCTCTCTTGAAACTCAATTTAACATTCACTGTTTGTTTTTAAAAAGGTATAAAACAACCTGTTTTTACATCAATATCAAATCATAATTAATTAAGTAATTAAACTTAATTTTGTTATGAATTTTTGTTACCAAATCATTTTAATGAAATAAACCTATTAAAGAAACATAATACTGTGAATCTAAAAGATTTATCTAGAGTTACCCAAACTCAATAGTTAGACATCTTACATCTTCCGACCTTTACTTAATAATAGACCTTTTTTTCCAAAAGATAGGAAAAATGATTTACAAAATCCTTTTTAAAAGTTAACCTCATTTTTACCAGATAGATTTTTTTAAAAAGATAATATTTAAAAAACTAAATATTTTGACACCATATCTTTCAATTTGTACGCTGATTTTGTTATTATTATTATTTTTTTCTTAGCATTGTATACTCAATTTCTAATTGGAGTTATTTCTCTTTTACTATTTTTAAGTTAATTAATTATATATATAATATTAACTTACTATTAACCCATATATAGTTTTAATACACAAGTGCTTATGTTTCTTAGATCTATATGTATGTAAATTTACAAGGTACAATGTTAATCCATATTTCGATCTTGGAAACATATATATATATATATATATATATTCAAATTTTAAACTATTTTTACATTATTAATATTTTTCTTACTAATAATTTTATTCCAATCACTTACTTCTTTTAAAAATACTTATATAAGATGAGTGGATAATGATAGGATTAACTACAGAAAGTAAGTATAGGAGGATTACATACTATGATGTTTTTTACACCATCAATCAATAAATGAATAGTTAAAATACTCATGTTAACTGGAATCCGTAAAAGATATATATTTAATATTTATTAAAAAATGTATATAGAGTTATAATATTTATGAGTTTTAGTGATATTAACATAATATTATTTATGTAAAGACATGTTTTTTTAATCAGAAAATAATTATATAATTATGTTAGAATATTAAAGGTGCCATCATCCATTTACAAAATATATACTTAAATTGTTTTCTTTATTTATATCATAAATTCAGTATTTATTATCAAAATGTCAATAAAATGATGTTTTTTTTATCATGTACTCAAAATCTCTCATGAATGATATTAATATAGCCCAACAGAGTTATCTCAATTACCATATTTGGAATCAGTTTCACAATTATTATATATCATAAAATTGTATGCAAAACTTCGTTTTGGTTATATCTTAGGCTTAGGTTGAACTTGAATTCATCTCGACTGAGTTTTGGATCGAATCAATCTTAACTTCGATTAATAATTTCATTTTTGGTTTATCTTAAGTCAAATTGGGATGGTTTTACCTTTGATGAAGTAAAGTCAGGTTCACTACTATACCCATCTCAAACAGAGTCAACTCAGACCCATTTCTCGTTGAATTATGTCGATTTATCTTTGACTGAATCATGTTAAGTTTATTTTTGGTGAAATTGAACCGTGTCCATCTCAGACCAAAGACAAAATATTAAAAATATAGAAAGTAAGGAGATATAGAGACTTTTATTATAATTTTTATGAGGAGTAATTTGGGAAGTACCACTTTTATGGGGTGTAGAAGAAAAAAAAGTGAGGTGCAGAAAGCAATAGCCCAAATTTCGTTTGCAAGTTAATGTGTTATATCTTTGAGTGTTTCATCCTACACCTCCAACGTATCATCTTGTACCTCCAAAAATTTTATTTTTAAGCTTCTACAACTCAATCTACACCTCCAACCTTTTCAAAAGATTTACTTTTTAACTTTAACAAAAATATTTTTATTTTTTTCTCTTTTTTATTAAAGACACCTTAATAAATATCTTTTTATTTTCTTCTCTTTCTTACCAAAGCCACTCTACACCACATTAACAATAATTTAATTTAATTTAAAATTTAAATATTATTTAATATAATTTTATATTTTAATAATTATCAAAGTATGATTTATATTATAATAATAGTTATATGAAAAAATAAAAATAAAAATAAAATAATTAAAATAAAAATAATAATAAAAATAAAAAATTAAAAATGAAATAACAATAATAATATAAAATTTGATTTGATATGTTAAAATATATTAAAATATTAAAATAAATTAAACAATTATTAAATTTTAAATAAAACAAAAATTTAAATATGCTAATGGTTTTGTTTTTTTATTTAAAATTTAATAAATATTTCATTTAAATGAAAATTATAATATTATTTATTATAATTTTATATTTTAATAATTATTCAAATATGATTTATATTTTTATAATAGTTTATTAAAAAAATAAAAATAAAATTAATTCAAATAATGATAATGAAAATAAAAATAATATTTAAAATCACATTTAATATACTCAAATATATTAAATTATATTAAAATATTAAATTAAATTAAATAATTATTAAAATTAAATAAAAAAACAAAATTTTAAGAAAATTTTTAATCGGAAATCCATATCCGAGTAATATATTATCGGATTTCCTTATCCGATTAACAAATTTTAATTTTTTTATTTTGGAATTTTAATAATTATTTAATTTAATATTTTAATAAAATATAATATATTTAAATATTTTTAATGTCATTTTAAACACTATTTTCAATTTTATTATTATTATTTTTACTTTTTAATAAAATTATTATAAAAATATAAATTATATTTTAATAATTATTAAATTATAAAATATAATAAATAAAATTATTATTTTTAATGAAATTAAATATTTATTAAACTGTTAGCATATTTAAAATTTATGTTTCTATTTAAAATTTAATAATTGTTTAATTTCTTTTAATATATTATAACATATCAAATCAAATTTTATATTATTATCATTTCACTTTTTTATTTTTATTTTTATTTTTATTTTTATTTTTTAATATAACTATTATTATAAGGGTTAAATATGTTTTACGTTCCTTAAGTATCACCGATTTTTGGTTTTAGTCCCTATTCAAAAATTTGATGGCTTTTAATCCTCATAGTATTGAAAGATGTAATATTAGTCCTTAAAAATGGACGGCGTCAACTTTTTGTTGATCTGGCAAACGGCGAGGCCACATCTTCTGCCAAATTCCGTCTTAATAATCTGCCACGTTGGTTGTTTAATTTGTGGAATGAGATTAAGTGATTGGGACGTGTGTGGGTGATTGAAATTAGATTACGAAAGTTGGGTTCTTCTTCGTCATCTCTCGGTTGGGGCAAAGCTGGGTTCTT